ACTACATAGCTAAGTATAAAATCCTTGTTAAGGTATTCCCTCATTTTGATGAAAGAATTGGTCCTCACCGAAGACATGTTCACATAAATCAAAGGCCGAGACGTTGAAATTGTTATGAGGGGCAATGCAGCTGGCCTCTTGTTCTGCCTGTGTTTGGCAAGAAATAAAACATTTGCTTCTGCTGTCACATAAATATAAAGTACGAGATGTAGTGTGAGATTGTTATGTTACTTTTTGATATTTTGATCTTACAAGTTTTTAATCGTAAAAGGTAGATAAGAACGCCATATTTGCAATCAAAATTTTCACTGTTTTTTATTCTTCTTTTCGATATAGGAATCAGCATTACTCATTATCAAAAGGACATATTCGCCAACAAATTTTCGTAAGTACGGAATTTGACACGAAGTACAAATCATAAACTACGAAAAACAGAATTGTTTGGTGATCCAAGCAACACTAAATCAAACAGTTTTATTTAATCGAGCTTCATTTGACTGTGTCTTCACTTTTTTTGGCTTTGGTTCTTAGCTCTTTCTTTTACGGTTTCTCCTTTTTTTGTTTGTATTGCTCTGTTTGTTTGATATCATGAACATTTACTCTGTTATAGCTCTTGATTTTTCTGGATGAAAACTTCCTAGTCAAGCTAAACGACGAAAAGTCTGATGGAGATATTTTCCACAACATTAAAGCCGCCACCGCATCAATACAAGCTGAGTGGGGGAATCCCTTCGTATTCCGGTGACCTACGGCATGTTAAATCTTTGGACATGTCAAGTTCCACCAGAGTGTGCGAAACTTACTTTCATTTTGCTTTTTGAATCTCTTAAATAATCATCTCGTCGGCAGGATCTCAACGGGTACTCAGCTTTCGACATTTCCAATAGCTTCCGTTACAAGAAACAAAGGATTATGAAGTCCACCTTTTAACGGTGGATACAAAGCAGAATTGTCATCACCACCAACATTGAATGGACGCCTTCCACATTCTGGACATCGTCATGAGATACTTGAAATCTTTATGTTTGAATTTGTTAAGACCTCTCTGCGTATACTTTCCTCATGTATCAAACACAAAAAAGTGAAAACCAAAGTCAAAATTAAATGGTTATCATGAAATGCTTTAATCCACTTGTAGAATTAAACACGAATTCATTAATTACCCCACTTGTAGCCTTGTAAAAGAGATACTTAAGCATAGTTTGAAAGTGCTTTTAAAATAACTGAAAGCGCTTTTAAAGAAAATGTTTTTAGGTTCTAAAAGCACTTGAAGTGCTTTCTGGATCGAAGAAGCACCACTTCAATTGCTTTTTCCAAGATTTACTTGCGTTTTTACTAAAGATTGATTCCAAAAATATTTTTACTAAAATGACGTTTAATCATTTTAAAAGCACTTATAAACAAGTTATTAAATAAAATCGAGAGGATAATGCATGTATCTGAACGTGGGGAATATACTCCCTTGCATGAAGTTTTAGCCCCTCTGTTGTCAACATCGAAGAAACAACCCACAATACCCACAAGGAATATGGGGAAAGACTTTGAAGTCAACAAGTCAAGCAAACCACAAATTTGGTAGAAACCATCACCACGTTTTTCTTAGCGTCTCTAAGAGCCATACATACATACCTCAATCCGTTTGAGTCACTTCAGTTATTTAGAATCCATTTGATAATTATTATTTTTAAAATTAAAAGTAGTTATTAAATAAGTTTTTAATTTAAAAAAATATGATAAACGAAATGGTTATTAAACAACCTATTGGAGTTTAGAAATTATTTTATTTTTTGTTTGTAGTTTTCACTTTTTTGTACTTGAGATAATGGAAAATGGGAGATTAAATGGTTATACATGTAGATGTTGTGCAATTGGCTATGTGGAACTGAAATTCAAATTACAATCACATCACAACAAACCACAGTTCAATAAAATGGGGCACTGTATGAAAATTAAAATGTGGCCCTTTTACGCACAAGACTTTTTTTTTTGTGTGTTTAAAAGATTTTTATTTTTGTAGAATGCCGCTTCCAACAAAAAAATTTAAACATGATTTCATTAATTACCCCACTTGTAGCCTTGTAAAAGAGAGACTTAGGCTTTGTTTGAAAGTGCTTTTAAAATTATTGAAAGCACTTTTAGAGAATGTTATTGGGTCCCAAATATACTTGAAGTGCTTTGTAGAAGAAGCATCACTTCAAGTGATTTTCCAATATTCACTTTTGTTTTTAATAAAGATTGGTTCTAAAAACATTTTTTTTCTTCTAAAAACGCTTTTAATCGTTTTAAAAACAGTTTTAAACAAGCTCTTATATGAATCTAGGAGTATAACTCATATCTGAACGTAGGGTATACATTGTTTCGTGAAGTTTTAGCCCCTCTGTAGGGGCGAAATTTTACCCTCTCTTTTCCACTCAATAGTCTGTCAACATTGAATAAAACAACCTACAGTTTAAACCCCACAAGGGATATGGAGAAAGACTTTGAAGTCAACAAGTCAAGCAAACCACAAAATTATACCCGCTATACATACATTACCATCACCACGTTTTCTGTAGTATGGTTCGCTTAAGTTACCAAACGAATTTTCAAATTAAAAAAAAATGAAAAATAAAAAAAGAATGATTATTAAATGGCTTTTTGGAGCTTGAAAGTCGTTTCATTTTTGTGTGTTGAAATTTGTTGATAATCATTTCTTTTGCTCGTCAGCATTTTCCTCTTTCGCCTTACAAAAAACCAAAATATATATTTAAGGTTTCCTGTATGGCACGGTTTGAAGCGTGCTTTACCTATTTTGAATAATAATAGTCGTTGAATTATTGGTAATGGGAGATCAGTTTCCTTTTGGCTCGACAAATGATCGGATGAACCTATTATTAGCCCATATTTATCTTCAATCATTTCATCTAAAGTTCTTCCTTGAGTTTCAAAAGTTATTGAAGCACCAAATTAGTTTTTGTCAGATTATTTTATTAATTTATTTCCTTCCGTGGTGCAACAGGATTTACACCAATGGTTCGTGTAGTTGTAGCTAGGCACTGACTCATTCAAGTGTGTTTCTATGGAAGCTAATCTAAAGTATTTGTTCAATTTATCCAGTTAGTAACATCACTTCAAGTGCTTTTTGTAGAATGCACTCGTTGAATGCCGCTTCCGACCAAAAAATTAAACATGATTTCCTTAATTACCCCACTTGTAGTGTGAAATCCCGTTCCCGGATTTCACTGTTATAATGTACGTGTTTGTATTCTTGAGATTTTATATTATTTTTCGAGAATTTATATTAAGTTATTTGAAGTTATACTTTAATTAAACTAGTTGAGAAGGTTAGAGTTTGTAAATTAATTATTTAAAATTCGTAGACCGTTCGAGGTCACAATTTATATCTTTGGATAGAGCTCGATCTCACGAACGCGTAAGCGCAAACCGTTCGTGAAACGGATCTATAACGAAGAAGTTAGAAACGTTTTAGTTGTTGGAAAATAAATAATTAAATGTTTAGAAGCTGCCAAGTGGCAGCAAGGGAGAGGGGAGAAAGGAGAGAGTGCGCGAGAGAAAAGGGGGGGTGACAGCCAATCAGAAAAAAAAAAGAGGGGGAAAGGAGGGAGACCCGAAATGGGTCATTTTAACTCGCGAACCTCCAAAATTGAACCGCTCATATCTCCTTCATACGAACTCCGTTTTGGGTGATCTTGGTGTCCATGGAAAGCCCTTGACGAGCCCTACATCTCTATAGTGTTAGATTTCTCAATTTATTTCTCATTTTTTTTCAGTTCGAAGCCACAAACCCACAGGTATCCGAGTGGTTTTATCCTTTTTCCGGTGGCTCCAGCAAGCTTCACCGTTGATGGCCATCACCAAATGACTCCTCTCAACCCCAGGAACAAAGCCCAAGCAGTGGTGGAGGCATCGGAGCTCGTACGGATCCGAATCAAAGCACACCCTTTTCTAGGGTTTTGGCGGGTTTGTGTAAAATCGAGGTGTTTCCCGGAAAAATTGGCCTTGTTCACAGGTATAAAAATTGCTCTACTCATTGATATCCTGATTTCTGTAAATTTTGGTAATTTTTAAAAATAGTTGAATTTTTCCAGCAAGTCGGGGCGGCCGACCACCACCCGCGGCAGCGTGTGCGGCGGCGGCCTGGCCAGTGGGCCGACAATGTTCTTTTAAGTTCAATTAGATGCCCTGATTTCATAATTGATATCCTTATGATATGGTTTGATTGTTTGAACCTAATTTCATTATGATATGTGGTTAGGTCAAAATATGATTCGACGATCCGACTGTTGGATCATCACCAAACCTTAATGCATGATAGAACATAATATTTTTGGATCATAGAAACTTATGGATCGAGAATCCGACATACAGATCTTCCCTAATTGGATTTCTAAGTTTGTAAAATTAAATGTCGACCGGCACTTGAATTTTGAAATTGGCGGAGATCCGATCGTCGGATTGTGTTGAGATCCGACCATCACCACGTTTTCCTTAGCATCTCTAAGAGCCATACATACACACGTCAATCCGTTTGAGTCACTTCAGTTATTTAGAATCCGTCTAATAATAATTATTTTCTTATTTTTATTTTTTAAAATTAAAAGTAGTTATTAAATAAGTTTTAAATTTTCAAAAAAAAAATGATAAACGAAAAATGAAAACAAAATGATTATTAAATAGCCTATTGCAGCTTGGAAATTATTTTATTTTTTGTTTGTAGTTTTCACTATTTTGTACTTGAGATAAGAGAAAATGGGAGATGAAATGGTTATACATGTAAATGTTGTGCAATTATGTGTGCAGAACTGAAATTCAAATTACAACCACATCACACAAATCACAGTTCAATAAAATGGGACCCCCACAGCCGACACTGACTAAGACCAAATTGGTCTTTGGCTCACACGCCATTACACATTCTATAATTACAAAGAAGAATAACTAGGGACCTGCCTAAGCTGTTCCTTCCTTACATTTGTGTCACATATCAGCAACAACTTCCGATGAAAACTCCTCTGCTTTCATGGCTTTTCTTACTCCGCATTTGCTATGTTTCACTCACCTTCCATACGTTTGTGGTCTCTACCCAATGTCCCGGCGATCAGCAATCTTTGTTGCTACATTTGAAGAACACCCTCACATTTGACCCTGCAACATCTCAAAAACTTGTGAACTGGAACAATGGCTCGGATTACTGCTCTTGGGAAGGAGTGTCCTGCAAAAAGGGTTGTGTTTCGAATCTGGACTTGAGCAGCGAGGCGATTACTGGTGGACTTGATAATTCCAGTTCTCTTTTCCGTCTGAAGTCAATCGACAACCTGAATTTGGCTTACAACAACTTCAAATACACTCAGATTCCTTCCGAGTTCAAGCAGCTAACAGGTTTGAGTAATCTGAACTTGTCTAATGCTGGCTTTGCGGGGCAGGTTCCGATTGAGATTTCACACCTTACGAGGTTGGTAACTCTTGATTTGTCGACCTTTTATTTCCCCGGAACTCCGTCGTTGAATCTTGAGAGGCCGAATTTGAATGTGTTCATTCGGAACTTTCCTGAGCTCGTTGAACTTTATCTTGATGGTGTGAATATATCAGCACTGGGGAATGAGTGGTGCCAAGCGATATCATCTTCACTGCCAAAATTGAGGGTGTTGAGCTTGTCCACTTGTAATCTTTCAGGCCCTATTGATAGTTCACTACTGAAGCTTCAATCTCTCTCAGTTATTCATATTGACAACAACAATTTGTCTACTCAAGTTCCGGAGTTCTTCTCGAATTTCCCGAATTTGACTTCCTTAGGAATCATGAATTCTGGATTATATGGTGCATTCCCAAAGAAGATCTTCCAGGTACCTACACTGCAGGCTGTTGATTTATCTGGTAATCCGCAGCTTCAAGGTTCCTTACCAGAATTTTCGAAGAGTGGATCTCTTCGATCCCTGGTTCTCAATGGGGCAAATTTTTCAGGCCAGTTGCTTCCAAACTCTATTGGGAACCTCAAGTTCCTGTCCAGCATAGATATTGCAAATTGCAATTTCACTGGATCAATTCCGAGATCAATGGAAGACCTTACGCAGTTGATTTATCTGGACTACTCGGCGAACAAGTTCAATGGTTCAGTTCCATCCTTCAGTATGGCCAAGAATCTGACCCTAATAGATCTTTCTCACAATCAGCTAACGGGTTGGATTAATTCCTCGCACTGGGAAAGCCTGACTAATCTGGTGAATCTCAACTTGCGACACAATCTACTTGATGGGACTATTCCGTCATCTCTGTTTTCTCTTCCCATGCTGCAAAATTTTGGGCTTTCTAACAATAACTTCTCTGGCCAGTTACCTGAATTTGGTAATTTTTCTTCCCTATACTTCCTTGATTTGAGTAGCAATAGTTTGGAAGGGCCTATACCCATGTCCATCTTTAATCAACGAGAGCTTAGAGTACTCTTTCTTTCTTCAAAAAACTTCAGTGGGTCCTTTCCGCTTAATGATATTCAACAACTGAAAAATCTCTCAAGTCTTGATCTTTCATACAATAGCTTGCTAATTAATTATGAGAGTTCCAATTCCTCCTACTCCTTTCCGAAAATTTCCATATTGAAATTAGCTGCTGTAAAGTTGAGAACCTTTCCTGATCAAGCACTTTGGACCTATCACAAAACCATATTCATGGTGAGATACCCAACTGGATTTGGAGGCTCAGTAATCTTGGTGAACTAAATCTTTCTTGCAACTCACTAGAAGGTCCTTTACGTAAACTTCCTCCTTTTCTGTATATTCTTGACCTTCATTCCAACCAGCTTAAGGGACAAATTCCAATGCTTCCAGAACGGGCCACTTATCTGGATTACTCAAGAAATAATTTCAGCTCAAGCATTCCGGCCAACATTGGTGATTTCCTTATGTACACTGTGTTCTTCTCTCTTGCAAGCCACAAGTTAAATGGAAGCATTCCAGAATCAATGTGCACGTAACCATATCTTCAGGTTCTTGATTTGTCCAATAATTCTCTAAGTGGCCCGATTCCCCAATGCTTGACTACCATAAGTGGGACACTGGCAGTACTTAATCTGAGGAGAAACAGACTCGCTGGTTCTGCCTGATGGATTTCCTCAGCACTGTAGTTTAAAAACTCTTGACCTCAATGGAAATCAGATAGAAGGTCAATTTCCAAAATCTCTTGGCAATTGCAGAATGCTAGAGGTTTTAAACATTGGAACAATCAGATAAGAGATATCTATCCTTGCTTGATGAAGCAGATATCCTCCTTGCGTGTCCTTGTTTTGCGATCCAACCGTTTTTATGGACATATGGGATGTAACAAAACCAGCGGTACCTGGCCAAACCTTCAAATTATTGACATAGCTCGCAACAATTTTACCGGCGAAATACCAGGAAGTTTTTTGAAAACGTGGAAAGCAATGATGGCTGACGAAGATGATGCCGAGTCAGAAGCTAATCACCTTCGATTTCAAGTTCTAAAGTTCAGCCAGCTATACTTTGAGGATGCTCTAACAGTTACCAATAAAGGTCTGGAAATGGAATTGGTAAAGATTCTAACTGTTTTCACCTACATTGACATCTCATGCAACAACTTTAGTGAATCAATACCTGCGGAGGTGGGAGAACTCAAATCCCTCCATGAGCTCAACTTGTCCAGCAATGCTCTCACAGGCACAATCCCACCATCATTAGGTAACCTACGACAACTTGAGTCGTTAGATCTTTCAAACAACAGCTTGAGCGGGCAAATTCCGGCGGAGTTTGGGGGCCTTACTTTCCTTTCTTTCCTGGATGTCTCAAACAATCAACTGGTCGGGAAGATACCAATCAGTACCCAGATTTCAATATTTCCAGCGGAGTCCTTCGCAGGCAATAAAGGATTATGTGGGCCACCTTCACTTCTAAAATGCAGTGATACCAACATGTCACCAACATTAGATGGCAAACATTCTAATTCTGCGCACGGAATTGATTGGGATCTGATTGGTGCTGAAATTGGATTTATTGTTGGCTTTGGGATTGCTACTGGATCACTTGTGTTTTGCAAGAGATGGAGTAAATGGTATTACAAAACAATGTATAAAATCCTTGTTAAGATATTCCCTCAGCTTGAAGATAGAATTGGTCATCACCGAAGACATGTCCACATAAATCAAAGGTTGGGACGCTGAAATTAACGATCATGGGGACCAATTGAGCTGGACTTCAAGCTATGCCTAGGAAATTTGAGATCCAACAAGTAAGAAGTTTGCTTTTTGGTTTTACCTTTTAATTTATGTGTGTTCTAGTTATATTTGTAATAGTTTATTGTGTATCTATGTTTTGTTTTCAATAAATTTCCTCATACCATCGAAATTCCTGAAGTTCGTGTAATCAGATAATCCCAAAAGAGTGTACTACATGTAATGTATTATTTGTTCGAATTGTGTAGTATGATGCCAGACCAACTCCATCCATCATAATATTGACAAAGAAAATCTTGACTTCTGAATTGTGATATGTTTTAACATCTTGCGATTCAATTTTAAACTCATCATATCCAGTACTACAACACCTAATGATTTATTTTTCACCTCAATTTATAAGAGAGCAAACCAGCGCTTATTGTTTCAGGAATTCCTCAATTTATAACAGGGCAGACTACGACAGTCACAATTCCACGATATCATAGTTACATACAATACATGAGTTTCTTGGAGAATATATTTCTCTTGCTACCCAGAAAATCAACATGAGCATACACAAACCATTCTATTATACACAAACCATTCTATTTTTCTTCCACCTATAACGGTATGTGTATATGATCGACTATATATGGCCTTAGTTAGTCAAAAACTAAAATAGGAGTAACATGTAGATTGCAGATATGCCTAGACTACTTCAAAGTGAATTAGAGTCGATCAAATCATAAACCTGAGTACTGCACTGAAAATTTCTGGTTTGGAATCTCTGATGCTCAGGGAATAAGCAAATGCACGCAACGAAGCCTCCATTGTTAAACCTGAAATAACAACAGTATATCAAGTTTAATTTTCTTTTCCGTGGAATCCTAGGTAACATAATTCTTTCAAAAGGATTGGACGCAAATGCCAATATCTTACAGATTTGTAATTTCATATTGTGAACTAGCACCGCAACAAAATATTTACATGTATATTGCATAGTATTTCTAAATGCCTACCCACTGGTAGCATTAGCTATTATATTGCAGTGTAAACCTCCTTCTGAATGAATGAAGCCGAGTGATATCTCCCACACATGCTTTGCATCCTTCCAGCTTGTAATCACCAACTTTTGGCCATCACATGGCAGCAAGCATGTTTGTAGTTGCTGGAAATGTGAATACAACCTGTAAAACAACTAACAGCTAGCAGCAACCATTTACAACCTGTTTTTATTTGAATTTCCAACACTTCGAAGTTGATTCAGTATTGGAAGGACCATCTGTTTTCTTTACGAACTTCATTTACCTAGTTGAATTTTTGCACCGGGGTTCTTCTGACCAAAATAACCATTGGGAAGTGTATCTAACGGACCAAGTCCACTATATGCATCAACGGAAGATTGAACATCACTCTCACTCTGGCAACAAGTAATTCTAGCAAACCCTTCACTCAGCTTAGGTAGTTCTTTCTTCTGCAGCATTCTATTCACAATCGCCACAGCTTTCCCACCTTCCACTTTTCCTTCATGGCCCTTTCGCTTCACATACCGCAATATACAAAGCTTGGCAGGAAGATCAAGCACCACATCATGAACATCAACTTGGGAACTACCACCAAGCTTCACAAAATCATCCCTTTGTTCTTTCTCTACATTACACCTATCTATAAACACACTCTTCCCATCTTTCAACGCATTCATTGCACTCTCTATACACTGCCCTTTCTTTCCGGCCTTACCATTTTTGATAGTATCCTACAAAAACATAAAATATGAACATATAACAGCATAAAACAAGAGCCCAAATGAATAGAAATCCGGAGTACCATACTACGTACTGAAAATAGCAATCTTGAGCCCACTGCGACATTTCATCGAACACACTGTGTGCACAGAGATATACCTGACAAACGCGAACCCAAGGGCGAGTGGAGCGCATGACATGTTCGCAGAAGGTAGACTTGCCGCTTCCAGGCGCACCCACCAATATTACTACAGGCTTTCCTTGTTTTTCTTCCCCCTTCAAAAGCGCATACAGGTTTTATGATCACCGAAGGCGACGACGACCGAGAATGGTAAAACGCGGCGTTTTGGAGAAAGGGCATACCTTTGGCTGTTTCGTCGATATCCATGTCCATGTTTTGGAAGACTCTGCGAGGCACTTTTGAATTAACGGCGGAAAAGCAACGGTTTCTTCTTCCACTGGGCTGGAAGCCTGAAGCTTCTATTGCCGGTGACTGGTGCTTGCGTAATGGGACACATGTCACACATCGTCGACCCGAAATTGACAAGATCCGATTCGATTTGGATTTTATCCATATATTAGCATCTTCGCAAACGCTCACGCACAAACAAGAATTTATTAATCATGAGCCTTACGCACCCTTTAAAGATGGGTTTGCTTTAATTAATTTTCTAATTGTTTAACATTGTTATTAGGTAAGAAATTTGTGAGGACCTTTCCTTATCATATTAGGCATCAGAATTTTCTTATCCTTTTCTTTTTCAATCGTCTTCTTGTGATAATTTTTTCTATAATTGTGTTAAGCCCTCCGTATTCCGGTAACCTACAACATGTTAAATCTATAGAAATTATAAACTTGATAATTACGTTCATAGCACAAAGGCCTATACATACAATTGTGTTTACTTGGTGTACAAGTAAGGATCTCTTCAAATTATAAATACAATCAGAACCAGATTACACTATTAATTGCTAAACCTTAAGAGGGACGATTTCCTTGGACAAGACTCCTTCTCTAACATCCCGTCAAACTGGACGGTCGAGAGGCGACAAGTTTGGACCATAGAAGAAGAAACCATGGTTTAGATAGACCTTTTGTCAAGAGATTTGTAAGTTGATCCAAGGATGGGATGAAATGAACTTTGTGAGTACCAAGCTTAAAATGTTCATGAACAAAATGATAATCTAACTCAATATGCTTTGTGCGAGCATGAAACACCTGGTTGGCTGCGATATACCTAGTACTAAGATTATCACAAAAGAGATAGGTGGGCAAAGAGGCCTCAAACTGAAGTTCATGAAGTAAGTAGGACACCCAAAAAGATTCGGTACAGGTGTGAGCAAGAGCACGATACTTAGACTCCGCACTACAGTAAGAAACAGTAGGACGTTTTGTAGAACTCCATGATATGAGATTCAGACCCAGAAATAAAAGATAGCCAGATGTCAATTGACGAGTGTCAGTACAAGCCCAATTTGCTTCGGAATAACCCTGGAGAATGAGGGGACCATGGTGAGGTCAAAAAATAAAACCAAATCCACCATAAAATCAATTGACAAAATGAAAAGTAACTCAATAAATTATAAGCACATACGTCACTTCTTTCTTCGACGTGGGATGGATACTCCAAGTCCACCATAAATTTGAAGAAGCTTGTACAAGGTTAGAGTAGATTTTCCAGTCTCCTTTGTTAGTGACAACATAACTACCTTTACCTAAACGAAAAGGATCCTTTTCCTGGGGATCCTAGGGATTTCGTGATCCAGACAATCCATCATACATCGTGCGGTCATAAATCATTTTAAAATTTAAAATTTAAAATTAAATATAAATAGTACTGTTTATACCATACTTAGAGCCTCCGTATTTAGATCTCGTACAAATACTCGGGTGACTTAAATGTAATTATGTAATAAAGGAAGGGGCAAATATGTAATAAGTGAGAATCCCTTATTCTATAAAAGGACTCCTCACCTTCACAATTTGGAGAGGCCAATTCCTAAGCCTTCTACCCCTCTCAAAGCTCTCACTCTCATTCAGAGCTCTCTCTCCCTCAGAAATATAATCAATGTGGACATAACCCAAACCTTGGGGGTGAACCATGATACATCTTGTATTATTTACATTTCTTGCAGATTCACGGTCGGATTTACGTTGTTCCAAGACCTCCGGTTTTGTGCATCAACATTTGGCGCCGTCTGTGAGAAACGACACGAAAAGTTATGTCGGTTCTCTCTCAATTTTTCATCTCACCACCGTGAATCTACACAACACCTTCAAACCAAACCAACAACAAAAAGAAAGCCTCTACTTCCCATTCTCAATCAAAACCAGATCTAGAATCATTATGACAACCGGAGCCGAAGATTCTTACTGGAAGCGAAACAGGTACTTGTTGTACACAACCGTCGGGATCATAGCACAAACCATCATCATAGTCCTTTTGTGGTTTTCATCCTCCGAGTCAAAACTCCCAAAGTCCGCTTAGACTCGGTTGCAGTTGACGGACTCGCCACAAACTCCAGCTCATCTTCTCATTCCTTCAAGGTTGAAATCAATGCCGTTGTTGCGGTAAAAAACAACAACTTTGGACACTACAAGTTCGAGAGCAGCAAGGCAACTTTCTTGTACAAAGCCACCGAAGTCATCTGCTCAAGAATCCCATCTCAGATCCTCCACTCCAAGAACCCCATCTTAACTTTAGCTATGGCAGACTCGCCAGGGATGACGCTGACCCGATTTGTGACTTGCTCAAGCAGATAAGCCAGCTCGTTTCCACCAGCCGCGGGTCGTCGTCATTCCGGTTCCAGATAAGCCTCCCAGATTTGCGCATCAGTCGCATTCCTGGCCCTTCTGGTTCGGTTACCCGGCCGCCAAGTTCAAGCAAGACGTAGGTGACATCCCGCTCTCCCTTCCACCTGAGCGCCTTCTACCTCCCGAGACCGGCATCCGCCACTGCCTCCACATCGACGTCGAAGCTCTCAAAGCCAACACCCCACATTTGGATGTCGTTGAGCTTGTGGTTAGGGAGCTAGAGAACATTCCACATTTTCAATGCTGGAAAGAGGTCAGTGCTAACCACATATGGCACTGTTGAAATGGAAGCTGGCATCATGGATGATAAAAAGAGATGTGGAGCTGTTTCTGGACTCACCAGTGTCGTCGATCCCATCTCTTTAGCAAGATAAGATCCTTTTCTTTATTATTTTATTACTTTATCATTATTGTGATAAAATACTTTTGCTTTACAATATGCATATTAGAGACCACATCATTTCTTTCATGGCTGTCATCACGTCCCACTACTTGTGCAATAGCAACAGCTTGACGAGACCACAGTATTATTAAATAGTTTATTATTTAATCATTCATGAACTAATTTATTATTTAATAGTTTATTATTATTTTGTGTTGGTGGACGCTTTACAGTACGCATATTCTTTGAGGAGACCACATCATTTCTATCACACTTATATTTTAGTGCACAATTAGCAAAATATTATTTACTTTCATGATCTGTGTGCATATAGTGTGGCACCTCACTATATATATATATATATATATATATATATATATATATATTATCTGATAGTGCGGCACCTCACAATATATGCTTTTCCACTACTGCTGTGTGCTAATTATGTCGGGTCACGACGCATACACATCATTACTACTATCATTATTTTACTGTTATACAAATTGCATTACTACCTAAACGAACGGGGTGACTTTTAAATTATTATTAATGATTTATCACATGACTATTTTTCATAACATGTGACAAGTCTGACCAAATTACACCTTTTATTATTTGAAATGTTAGGGTGACATAATTTTGGTGGTTCATGGCACGGACTTTGTTGATCAACATTGTTGATGATTAAAGAAGCATATCGATACTATTGATCAGCCTATAGATCACTGAGCCACATGCTTATGGTGACAAAGATTTAGTCTGAACGGTGATCTCTTGTCTGACCAGACACCCACTTGCTCGAACATTCGCTTATTAGGACACCTATGTGCCTGGACCCAACTTGACGACCCTACAGATAGCCCCAACTCGATCACCCTACGTATGCCCCCGACTCAAAGACCCGACTTGCGGACCCGATCCGCGGATCCGACACATAGACCCAATATGCGAACCCGACAAGCGGACCCGAGTCATGTCGAGAATCAACTCATACTGAGTGCATGTCGACATAAAGTAAATGCTTGCAATGAGGAATACCACGAGCCGAGCCGCCTCGCAGCGAGCATAGCCTCTAGCCGAGTCGCCTCGCAACGAGCATCGCCTCCAGCCAAGCAAACGCCTCGCCGCGAGCATAGCCTCTAGCCGAGCAGCCTCGCAACGAGCATCACTTCCAGCCGAGCAGTCTCGTAACGTGTGATACCTCTAGCCGAGTATTGCTTTATGTTGAGTATTGCCTTGGGTTGAGTACTAGTTCAAGACATCTAGCCACTTCGGCCCGTACATGGATTGAATTTCAACTCTCTAGCCAAAAGACTTTCTTGACTGAAAACTTTGGGGACTACTGTTTATACCATACTTATGGCCTCCGTATTTAGATCTCGTACAAATACTTGGGGGACTTAAATGTAATTATGTAATAAAGGAAGGGGAAAATATGTAATAAGTGAGGAGCCCTTATTCTATAAAAGGACTTCTCACCCTTACAATTTGGAAAGGCCAATTCCGAAGCCTTCTCACCCCTCTCAAAGCTCTCACTCTCATTCAGAGCTCTCTCTCCCTCAGAAATATAATCAGTGTGGACGTAGTCCAAACCTTGGGGTGAACCACGATACATTTTGTGTTATTTACATTTCTTGTAGATTCACAGTCGAATTTACGTTGTTCCAAGACCTTCGGTTTTGTGCATCGACAAGTACCTAACAAAAATTGATTGCACGATGAACAATGAACGGTCTAAATCACGGGATCGCTAGGATCCCCAGAAAAAGATTCATGCGAGGATCTTTTTCCTTGCCTAAGACCATCTCCAACGGTGACCTAAAACCTAAAAATATTTAGCCCAGAAAATTTAGGTTTTAGCCCAGAAACAGTTTTTCTACTCCAACCCTTCTAGCCTAAAATTTTAGCCCATCATCAAAGAATGAATTAAGGCTATTTTTTTAAATTAACTTAAAAAAAATTATGTAGACTATTCTAAATTAATTTTATGAATATTTTAACCTAAAAATATTTAAATTTCGATAAATTTTGAAAAATCACTAAATCAATACATGAAAATCATGATAAACCACATAAACTTAATACCAACAACATTTAATAAACCACATAAACTTAAAAAAAAAAAGACAATTAATAAACCACATAAACTTAATACAATCGAAAACTCATAGACTACATAAACTTAATAATGATATCCACCATCTTGACTTGGTGATGGACTTTGGTGATAGTCTTGAGATGAATCATCATCTTGAAATATACTTCTTGTGGCATTCCTTCGTAAAATTTCTTTTTGCTTACCAGGTAAGTATTTCTTCCTCTCTGGAGTGTATTTGTCGAGGTCATCCATTATCAAATTAGTTTCGTACCTTTCTTGCTTCTTATCCCCTTGTTCCTTCATGGCCAAAAGCATTTGGGCCGATTCTTCTTGCCGACGGCACTGATTTTCGTTCATTCTTGCCATTTCGCTAGCAAATTGT